ATCATGTGTCTGAGGCCGGATTTGAACTCAGGTCCTCCTGACTCCAGGGCTAGCTAGTGTTCTATCCACTGTGCCACCTAGCTGCCCCCAACAACACTATTTCTTTAGTGAACTTTGTGAGGACTCTTCAGAGAAAGGACAACTAGGCCATACAGTTCCAGAGTTCTTAGTTGCCTTGACCATATGTGTTCCCCAGAAGTGAGTCTAACTCTATTTTACTTGTAAATTCGCACCCACTGTCCTTATCCCCTGGACTATGTATATTTGTAGGAGAACTGTTTGGGGGGGTGCCTGCTTTGTAACTATTTTTCTATTATGTTGTTTGAGTAAATATATTTTCTAAGTGCTAATTGAGTCCACTGGTTGATTGTTAATGGGAAATGTACCAGTAGATCTTCACATTAGGAATAAAGAATTCACCCACAGGGTTATACAGAACCTGAGATAGCAATTGCCCCTCTAGGGACTGCATCCCATTGAAATTAGAGCCATAAGGCAGGAGAATAAGAGTGGATATGAGGAAGAGGCTTGGGACCAACTCTGAGTGGTAAGACAGCCTATTACTGTACCACAAAAGGTGTCACATTCATCATAGAGGATGGAATGCTAAAAGTAGGAAATCAAAAGATAATTGGAATAACAGGCAAGTTTGACCCGGGAGTACAAAAGGAAGCAGGGTGGAGACTAATAGAGTTTTGTCAAGACAATTCACTGGTCATAACAAACCCTCTTTTTCAACAACCCAAAAGGCAACTCTACACATGGACATTGGCAGATGATCAATACAGAAATCAGATTGATTATATACTTTGCAGTCAAAGATGGAGAAGCATTATGCAGTCAGTTAAAACAAGACCTGGGGCTGACTGTGGCTCAGATCATGAACTTCTTATTGCAAAATTCAGACTTAAATTGAAGACGGTCAGGAAAACCCTCAGACCATATGACTTAAATAACATCCCTTAAGAATATGAAGTGGAGGTGATGAATAAATTCAAGGGATTAGATCTGGTAGATAGAGTGCCTGAAGAACTACGGACAGAGGTTTGCAATATTGTACGGGAAGGAGCAACAAAAAAATATTCCAAAGAAAAAGAAGAGCAAGAAAACAAAATGACTGTCTGAGGAGACTTTACAAATAGCTGAGGAAAGAAGGAAAGTGAAAGGGAAAGGAGAAAGAGAAAGATATACTCAACTGAATGCAGAATTCCAGAGAATAGCAAGGAGAGACAAGACGGTTTTCTTAAATGAACAATGCAAATAAATAGAAGAAAACAATAAAATGAGAAAGACAAGAGATCTCTTCAAGAAAGGTAGAGCCATCAAGGGAAAGTTTCATGCAAAAACAGGCATGACAAGAGACAAAAATGATAGGAATTTAACAGAAGCAGAAGAGATTAAGAAGAGGTGGTCAGAATACATAAAAGAACTATACAAGAAAGATCTTAACATCACCTATAACCATGGTGGTGTGGTTACTGATCTAGAGCCTGGAGAATGAAGTCAAGTGGACCTTAGGAAGCATTGCTAACAATAAGGCTAGTGGAAGTGATAGGAATTCTAGCTGAACTATTTAAAACCCTAAAAGATGATGCTGTTAAAACATTGCATTCAATATGCCAGCAAATTTGAAAAACACAACAGTGGCCACTGGATTGGAAAATATCAGTTTATGTCCCAGTCCTAAAGAAGGGCAACACCAAGGAATGTTCAGATTACCGAACAATTGAATTCATTTCACATTTCACTTAAGAATGAGCAAGCGAGGCTGCAGCAATATTTGAACCAGGTTTTTTAAGAAGGCGGAGGAACTAGAAACCAAGTTGCCAACATTAGTCAGATTATGGAGAAAGCAAGAAAGTTCCAGAAAAACATCTACTTCTGCGACATTGACTACACTACAACCTTTGACGGTGTGGATCACAACAAAATGTGGCAAGTCCTCAAAGAGATGGGAGTACTAGATCATCTTACTTGTCTCCTGAGGCACCTGTATGCAGGCCAAGAAGCAACAGTTAGAACTGAACATGGAACAACAAAGATTGGAAAAGGAGTATGACAAGATTATATATAGTTACCTTATTTATTTAACTTACGTGCAAGTACATCATGTGCAATGCCAGGCTCAATGAATAAAAAACTGGAATTAAGGTTGCTAGGAGAGATATCAACAATCTCAGTTATGCAGAGGATATCACTGTGATGGCACAAAATGAAGAGGAATTAAGAAGGCTCTTGATGAGGATGAAAGAGGAGAGTTTACAAAGCTTAACATCAAAAAAACTAAGATCAGGGGCAGCTAGGTGATACAATGGATAGAGCACCAGCCCTGGAATCAGGAGGACCTGAGCTCAAATATGATCTCAGACACATAATACTTACTAGCTGTGTGACTCTGGGCAAGTCACTTAACCCCAATTGCCTTGCAAAAAACCCCAAAAAACAACAATAACAACAAAAAACAAACAAAAAAACCCCAAAACTAAGACCTTAGCAACTGGTCCCATCGCTTCCTGACAAAAAGAGAGAGAAGAAACGGAAGGAGTGTCAGATTTTATGTTCTTGGGCTTAAAGATCACTGCAGTGACTGCAGCCATGAAAATAAGACACTTGCTCCCTGGAAGGAAAGCTATGGCAAATCTGGACAGCATACTAAAAAGCAGAAACATCACCTTGCCAACAAAGGTCCATTTAATCAAAGATACGTTTTTTTCCAGTAGCAATGTATGACTGTGAGAATAGGATTATAAGGAAAGCTGAGCACTGCAGAATTAATGCTTTCAAATTGTGGTGCTGCAGAAAACTTTTGAGAGTTCCTTGGACAGTAAGGAGGTCAAATCAGTCAATGCTTAAAGAAATTAATTGAGGCTATTCACTGGAAGGTCAAATACTGAAGATGAAACTTAAATACTTTGGCTACATAATGGGAAGATGGGACTCACTGGAAAATACCCTGTTATTGAAAAAGATTGAAGGCAAAAGGAAAAGGGGATGGCAGAGGATGAGATGGATATATAGTATCATGGAAACAATAAACATGAACTTGGACAGACTTCAAGAGACAGTGGAGGATAGAAGGGCCTTGTGTGCTTTGGTCCGTGGGGTCACAAAGAGTCTGACTCGACTGAACGACAAGTGATTTCCTCCACTGATGGAGCATTGGTGAGCCAGCTTTCATCACCAAGTAAGGGGGTAAAAGGGGTGTTACTGGAGAATCAAACAGCAACCAGCTGTCACATTGGCTTCTGAGGGCATAGTCTAATGGAACCAATGTGGAGGATGTCTCTGCAGCAGAATTCTATAGGTCTGGACATCTGAATATTTATTTCTAAAGAATCAGCTAAGTCAATTAGCTGATGGTATTGCCTTTTTTTTTTTTT